GGCTGGCAGGCGCCCGCTTCCCCCACTGCCGCCATCCTGGCTCCAAGAATTCTCTCCAGACCAACTTGCAGCAGTGTGGTGGCTTCACTGTACCAGTCTTGAGGAGGGCCAGTGCCCAGCACCCATCCTGGGTGAGGGAATCCATTCATTCCAGCTGTGGAAGCCTCATGGAGCTGCAGCAGCTGTGCGGTGCAGCGAGAGCTCTGCAGAGGGGGTTGGGAGCCACGAAACTCACCCATTTCTCCTTGGGAATCCTTGAATTCCTGTTGTTGAGCCTCGATCTTCACTGAGGGCCAGTCATCAACTGTTTAAGTGTTCAATTATCAATAAGCCTAAGTCTGTGGAAGGCCATAATGGCCCTGCTTTAAGTGATTTGCTGCTCCCGCAGCTCACCATGCTGTCTCTGCCTCCGCCGCCATCTTGGATCTCCCACCATGGACTCTTCTAAACTCAGCCTGCACTTCTGGCAGTTCTCTGTTAATGTGCTTTTCTAGTAATTTTTTCCTAATTATCAACAGAATCTCTTGCTTGCACATGATATTAATGATATTGATGGATAATTTCCACACTCTGTTGAGTCACTTTTCTTTGGAATGGGAACAAATATAGATCTCTTCCAGTCAGTTGGCCAGGTGGTTGTCCTCCAGATTTCTTGGCACAACTTGGTGAACACATCCAGGACAGTGTCTGTTTGTTGAAATATGTCAACTGATATGCTGTCAATTCCTGGGACCTTGTTTTTTGCCAATTCTTTCAGAGCAGCTTGATCTTCTTCCTTCATTACCACAGGCTCTTGCTCATACGTTGTTTATTATAAGGAGAGGAGATGGCTCAAGAACGTCCTTTTACATCCAAAACCAAAGTCAAACCACTGTCTTCTTGTAGATTCTGACTCACAGTGACCCTCCATCAGGTTCCAAGGCTAAGAATCTTTATGAAGAAGACTGCTCAGAGTTCTCCTAGTAAGCTGATGAATTTAAATCAGCAACTTTTGAATTGTTGTTTATTATCCTCAAGTAGGAATCAACTCAATGCTGGTCCTCAAGCAAGTTTTCAGAGGCTATAAATTGCACAGGAAGAGATTGGTCATCTTTTTTCCACTGAGAAGCTGACAGAGTTGCACCCCATGCCTTTGGAATGGCAGTGTATCTCCTTACACACAGGTGACCAGAGCTGCAAAAGATCAAACACTGTAGACTTCAATGTGGATTGCATGTCAACATCAAAACAACAAAGATCTTTGCCACTGGACCAATAGGCAACATCATGACGGACTGAGAAAGGACTGAAACTGTCAATGACTTCCTTTTGCATCTATAATCAGTAACTCAGTGCCAGCAGTCAGGAGAGCAGGAGATGTATTTCACTGGAAAAGTCTGTAGTCAGAGACCTCTCCAAGTTATTGAGAAGCAATGATGTCAGTTTGAGGACTCAGGTGTACCATATCCAGGCCATGGTATTTTCAATTACTTGCTATGTACTTAAGAGCTCAACAA